ATGCACGAAAACAACTTCAAACGCAGATAAAAAAAATCCAGAAATGGCTGTTTATTTTATTTATCTAATTATTTCATTTATTTTTTTTATTCTAATTTCGTTTCGAAAACTTGCGATTACATAATTATATACAGTTTTATACATATTTTAGGTCAGCCAAACTTGAGAAAATTGTGTTAACCAAACGATTTGAATGCTACTTCTTATGTATGCTAAGCAGTAGAGTGCTTAAACTGCCGGCGTGTAGATGTAGAAAATAAAAAAAAGCAATCTATAAAATTCTTATATAATATAAGCTTTCTTCAAATAATACAAACAGATTTTACAATAAGCGATCAGAACTAAAGAAATGGTTGCAATACATTTAACTGTGCAAACTTCAATACGATTGAATTGTAGATTCTTAAAGGCACAGTATGCCTCAGATATCCATAGTTTTAATTGTTTAGCAATGCCAAGCATGTGCTAAATTGAGTTTTAATAATAAATTTTGAGCATGTAAGATGTTTTACAATGAAAACGATTTAACGATTCAGACAGTTTGTACTTCAAGAAATAAGTGTTAAAATAAACTGCAATTGATATGAAGTAAATATTTTTGGAGCATGTACTTTGTTAAATGGCATGTAAAGAGGGTATTCATTTGATCAAATCGATTCACTCGAGTCTCCAACTAGCCTCGTTTTCTTTTCAGAGTCCAAACATCCACGTTTAATCACAAAAATACGCAATCTAGTCCCGTTTTAACTTTCAGAGTCCTAAAAATCCATAGCAAATCACGACTTTATACCATGTAGCTTTGTTTTGATTTCCTGAGCCTAAATAAAAGCTGTATTGTATTCAACATTGTATAACATTCTTATAGTAAAATATATATAGAGTGTACACACAATGCATTACTTTAGATTGAACCAACTAGGTCCGTCAGATAAAATGTACGTATGCAAAAACTTGAAATTTCTTAGCTTTGTAACAAATAAATGGATTCCAAAAAAATGTGTTAGAAATCCAATAATTTACCATGGCATAGGGTGAATATTATTTTTCCAGAAGATACAAGTTACACATGTAACCACAAACATGTAATTAAACTATTTATGATATTGAAACGCTAGAGAGATCTATGAACGTGTTTTTACAATTACATACAATAACACAGTGACAATTGAAACATACCTACGACACGAATAAATGTATATATGGTATACTTTAATTAGGAAATAGATATGAGCAGTGACATGACTTTTCCAATATAGTGGTCAAATTACGTAATCATAGAAACGTTACGTCATTTTTTTATTATTTTTTATTTTTCGACGCGCGCTTTTTTAATCAGATCAAAGCAGTTTTCAAACAGTGAGCATATCAGTAAGAAAAAAAATTCGTGACTGCACTAAAATAATAAAATTGTTCACCACAATGATGACGGTTTTCCGCAGTTTAATGATATGGGAAGAAATGACTCATTGTTACTGTGTAAATATAAAGTACAAACTGCGCTGATAAACTTGTTTTTGGTAAGCTTGGACTTTTGACAAAACATTCGCTTAATCGTGAACATAAGTACCAATGAGGAAAATTTCACAAAGAAAGTATGATTTAACAAATCTAATTACATCTATTCAAATGACCATTCACATATTTTCCTTGCAAAAGAAAACACCTTCAGGGCGTACATACTTAAAGTAATTAAACACTTACAAGTATTTCTATGATTGTTATTTTATTTCAAGCGTTAAAATGTTTTTTCAAGTATTTTTCCTTATTGTAACATGTCGTGGCTGATATGTAAATAGAACAAGGAAGATATCACATCACATGGATATCAATGTTTTATATAACGGACACTCCAACAAATAAATATATAATTGAGGGACTGTTGTAAAGAGTAGTAGGTGTGTGATTAGACGCTTGAAGTTGTTGGAGTTGTTGAAAAGTCGTCCTGTTTTTAATCAAATTAAGGGAAAAAAAGATTCATTGAAATTACATCATTAAACATTTTGCGGCGCCATGTTAGTCAAGTTGCCGGTTTGAATTTATAAATGGAAGAAATAACAATGGCATTGTTGTGAAATATATCACGCATCCGGCCTTATTTGTTTATAAAAAAAATCCCCGGTAGTGTTAGAGCCACACGTTTAGAGCTGTAATATAAGACACTCATACACAAGTTTAGAGCTGTAATATTAGCCACTCATACACTGACTTTTTTAGGTGGTACACAAACATTGTTATGTAAGCAAACATCAATTAGGTAAAAAAATTTAAGTACATGTATGTTGTATATAAGCATGTTCTTCAATATTATTCCTTTGCTTTTTTATCAATCACATTCAAACAACTGATGATTTTAAGCGCCATTCCAGTGCAACCGGATGTTAATTCTATAACGCAGCTTATTCTTCTTCTGTCATTATCATTTATCACAAAATTCATGAAATAACAACTTTTATGTCTGGGTTTCGAAAAGGATACGAAAAAAAAAAATCAGAAATTTAAAGCTTTATCGAATAAAGTACGAAAAATAATTTATATCAAAAGCGTAGGCATTGTTATACTAGGTTAAAATCAAAATGAAACATGAATAATTCGGGTTGATGAAAATTTAAATTCCGGTATCATCTGATTAAGAAGTAAACAACTTTAATGAAATGAAGGACGGGTTAATTTTTTTCAATTGTTATCAACAGACATGTGGCACCAGTGTATAGCCTGGCAAATTTCCGTGGTTAAATCAATCAAATATCCAGGTTTATTTAACAAAATCATGCATTGCTTCATTGTTTCATTACAAATATGTGTGTGTGTGCGTGCTCAGGCGTGCGTCCCTGTATGCGTGCGTGTGTGCGTGTGTGTGCGTGGACGTGTGTTTTCTAAGTTTAATAAGGGTATATCCGCCCTTTAAGGCACTGTGATCCCGAACATGTCACCAATCATGTCCTTAAATATTATCTAAGTTGCCAAATGGTGACCTATTAGTTTTGAATGCAATACAGGCAGTTTAACAATGAGGGGAATTTATAATATTAACCAAGATGTGATGTTGACATGAATGCAGAAATCAAGGTGAGTAGGATTATCTCCCTTATTCATAGAAACACCAAGCTACAAAATAGAATGAAATCTCATGATGATCAAAAATGAGATCTTGACCTAGACTTGAGTATTGAGTTTGCTGGACAACTGGCAGGACTATCAGTTACTTACTATTTCTGTAAGAGGCCAGCAGCTGTAGGATTGAACGGTTTTGCACCTATTTCATCCTTCTCCTTCTCAGATCAGACACTTTCCGTGATGCCGGCACTGGAAATATCAATTTTAAGTGGAATTTTGTCCTTATATAAAAATATTTAATCATTTAAACTTTACTAATGATCAATAACCAAAAGATGGCTCAGTTGTATGGCAAATAAGTATTTTTTCAAGAAACTGTAACAAAACACAAAGAAATAAGCGATTTATTTTAGCTCGATTGCTTTTTTTATACTTATATGATTCAAGGTGTTTTCAAATACTGAACTAAAATGTTTAATTTCCATGCATTTCTTAAAAATACATTTCTTAAAATAACTTTCTTCTAAAATCTTAATGAAAGCCTTAGTACCAGCCGTATGAGACCAAATAGATTTACTTTCTTTTTTTTCTTTCTTTTTTTAACTGTAAATTATGCAGTTCTGCAATGCAAAATTTCAATATTAAATATCATTATTCAAAATATGAATACAGGATTTGAAAGCAGGCAGTTAATATCACAGATATTTATTTACATTTTCTATTAATTCTATCATAAATTTTCCTCAATTTTTATCATTCATTGTAGTAATGAATAGCAGTGTCATATTATATTACATTTTAAAACTTCCTGATTTCAACATAATGTGTACTGTAACCCCTGTTATTCAACCCTACCTCTTCCCCATTAATTAAAGATTCCTATTTTTAACCCATCTAGTTTCGGAACCATTCCTGTATTACATTAAAGTGACATTATGCTCATAGTTTCATAGTGAAGTTATGCTGAACTGACTACATATTTCAAAAGATAGTGATTGACTAACGGTTCATATACGAAAATGTTTAGGATAAAATTTAAATCTGCCTAAATATAAATAGACTGTCTCATCCTTTTTATGAAATGAACGTAACTAGTTTATTTTAATGGATATTTACGAAAATATCGTTTGAATCCATGCGTTGTTTATTGTTAATGTAAAATTATTTTTTATATTAAAAGGAATTATGGCAAAAGGAAAACTTATTTTGACATTCACTTGTTCACTCATTTATACCCTTGGATTGGCATAATGTCAATTTAATTAAAGAACCATATATTTAACCACTCTAGATCAGGAACCATTCCTGCACTTCATTAATTCAAGTATCATATCTTTAACTCCTCTGATTCTAGAACCCTACCTGTACCAATTAATCAAAAAACCATCTCTTTAATCACTCTAATTCTTAGACCATTACAGTACCCCATTAATTAAAGAACCATTATTTTATCTTTCGCTTCTTTAATTCATGAACCATATTCGCACCCAATTATTTAATGACCTTATCGTTAACACTTCTAATTCTAGAACCACAAATTACCCCATTAATTAAAGAACCATAACTTATCTCTTACCATTGTTCAAGTACCATTCCTGAAACCCATTAATTAATAAACCTTATATCTAACCATTTTAATTCAGAAACCAGACCTGTACAACATAAATTGAAGACCCATAATTTTATATTTAACTACCTTATTTAAGAACCATACTTCACCACATTCACACAAAAAAAAACATATATTTATCTTTATCTACTTAAATTCAAGAATCATACTTTTACCCCATTAATACAAGAACCATATATTTACCCCCCCCCCCCCCCGACATGATTTCAGTCACGGGCAGACACTTTAACTGTACCGCCAAACTTCCCTGATGCTTCTTTAAATATAATCTCTCTATCTCATACGAGGTGGTAGTATACAAGTATACAGAAAGTATACAGAACAGTTATTTTCTGATAAAACTTAATAGAATATGATGTGGGCTGTCTTTAGAAGGTGTATGATAATTATAGTGTAGAGATACGAGGAAAACCTGATTACCTGTACCGTAAACACAATATATCTTTATTTAGTTAAAACATTTCAGACTTTTTGGTTAACAGGGACGAATTTAGACTCCAACGTAGTAATAGTTTATAAACGGATAATTGTGTTGTATATTATATGCGGACATCTTTATATCAAATTTTATTGAAAAAATGAAATGTCTTTTCTCTATACTCGTTATCATTGGTAACTCGAATGTGTTGCTTGCTAACAATGATAATTGCAGAGAAAACGATCTGAATGCTTTAATGGTACGTCTGCGTGTACTTCGAACAGAGTTTGCCGACTTGAAAATCAAGCATGAAGAACTGATAAATCGTATCGATTTAATAAATGACACTCAAGTAGTTCTCAAGGAAACGAATGATAACCAAGAAACAGAACTTAGAAAGCATAGAGAAGAAATCAACAATGCATCTTCAGAAATAAAACTTATCAACATAAAAAACACAAAACAAGAGAAAGAACTTATAGAACTTAGAAAACAAATCAACAAAACATCCTCAGATATCAACACAGAAAACAGAAAACAAGATACAGAACTTACCAAACTTAGGACAGAAATAGATGCATTAAAAGGAGGTATTCTATTAAAATATTTATTTTAAGATGCCAGTGCAATTTAAAGTGACTCAACTGAGGTATTCTTTCACATGAATGGGTCAGAACATTTTTTCAAGATATTTATACCAAATGATTTAGGTATATACCAATACTTAGTACGAAATTTCGGAACAGCAAAAAAAATGCTCACTACCCTTTTCCATAGTTATCACACTCATTCCAAAAATTAATTTTCTTAAAGAAAAGAAAAAATAAAGTTCCAATCGGTCTAAAAGTTGCTCTTAAATCAATTTTCTGTATAAGATTTAGTATATGTCTACATATATTTGCATTTTTAGTGTCCCAGCTGATTTATGTAAATTTTCAAATTTAATGTTTTAGGATTTTCGACCTCAAAGGAGCTACTTTAAAATGTTCAGTGCATAACATTTTAATAATAAAAAATCTTGCTTGAAATTAAAGAAAGTGTTCTTTGAAAGTCATTTATTATTCAGGTTGAAATAAAACTACTGCAAAATCATTATGATCAATAAATTATAAGCTTTTTCTTGGAAAATCATAAAATATGATCCAACGAAATTATGTTTCGTCTGTTGTAAGATTACTTTGCACAACCCGATGTGGAATTTACTTTGTTTTGCAAAAACAGACATTCCATAGAGTAAAAAGAACACACGAGCATTTCTTTTTAGACAAAACCATGGCATTTTATGCATAAGAAACATTTATTTTATGTAACATCGCAATAGGTTTCAAGAGTTACTACGACATTCCAGTGTAGGAACTCGAAAACATATGTTATATGTCCACTTCCAGGTCTGCTATCTATGTGCCAATTATGTTGCAATTCAATTTGAAATCCTCCTGTTCAATCTAATTCTGCTGCAAAAATGAGTCAACTTTATGATTATGAAATTCATTTTGTGTCGCATGTAGCTCAAAAAGTATATGACCTATAGTTACTAAACTTTGCAGAAATGTTACTCATGTTCTGTACCTGGGGTTTCGCGTGCAGATCAATTATGTTTCGTCAGCGTTATTGCCCTTAACTGGATAAAAATTTGCAATTTTCAGCTTGTGTTGCACGTAGCTCAAAATGTATTTGACCTTAGGTCAAGCAACTTTACAGGAATCTTGATAAGCATGAATTGTGTAGTTGTGCATCTTGGTATTTCCGTGTGAACTTATTTTGTATTTGTAGAGTTATTGCCTTTTACTTAGTGAAAATTTGCAATTCTTTTTCAATTTGTGCCGTGCGTAGCTCAAACAGTATTTAATCTAGAGTCATATAACTTAATATAAATGTTGCTCAGCATGTGTTGTTGTGCACCTTTGGTTTCGCTTGAATGTGGATTTATCCAGTTATCAAGACTAATTACCCTGGATTTATTTTTTATAAATGTTTCTTAGATTTTCATACACAAAACCAAAACGATACTAAACAGTTCATGTTAACTTTGATGACCCAACATAATCGACCTACTTCGTCTAGTGACTTCAACATTAATTTAAATAACACTGTTTGGGATATCTACATAAAGATCAGAAGTGAACAAAAATAGCTTATGCTTTTTGTCCTGTACAAAATACTTAAAGGCAATCTACCATATTTTCTTAAACCAATTATTAATGCAAGTCCAACATCTAATTTTCTTTGTTACTGTTGTTTTCGTCGAGAAAACAATACAAGTATAGCCAATATCTTCTGTCATTAAGGTCAGTGTATATATTATATTCTGCATTTATCTTTTCTTTTCACATTGTCAATCTGAAAGTCAACATAAAACTATGGTGTCCTAGAGATCCTTTTTACACTATTTTAAGTATTCCGCATACCCTTTAAATTTAAGAGCTGATTTTCGAGCTAGCTTCATGAATCATATACTCGACGTTAATAGGTACTCTAAAAATGCATGGCTCACACCACTTAAATAGACCTACTTCAATTTCAAAAATGCCTCATGTGACAATTTGCCCATGGCAAATTCGGAACTTACCAACTAAAACTGTTTACTGCCTCCTAAGGTAAAACGTTTACGTCTGCATAGAAACTGATTGGCTAAATGCGAACTTTATCTAAATCATTATGAAGAAATTATAAATAAAATATGCTCACGGTGTCTATATAGAGTGTGACGTAGGAATCAGGAAACCAACACAAAAGACGGTAGTTTTTTCTAACGTGACATTCTTATGTTCCATTATCTCATATTGAATCAATTGTAGAGTCCGCTTATTTTATGTATAAAGGTATTACCATCCTACTGCATTACATCCGCTTTGAAGAGTATTCAAATAGGCTAGAACTACTGTTAACTAAATTGAAAAATGAGGGCCGTGGGTTCAATCCCCAGAAGGGTCAACTTTTTTTTTATTCTTTTTTTCTTTTAACATTGTTTATGTATCTCTCATGTCCAATTTGGAAACAAAAAACGTGTTTAATTTTGATTTTTTCAATTTATATAGGTACATGTATTTATTGGCTAAATTATGCTAAATCTACTAATAAATATGGTACCTGATATTTTCAAAGTGTAATAAAATCAAAACTAGACGGTAAAAGTATTTCATATTTTACAAGATCAACCTATATAGTTCTTTAAAAATTTAGGGAAACTTTGAAAATTCTAAAGAGGCACTTATTTGGGTAACTTTAAGTATTTTTTAAATTAGGCTCCCTAAGTAGAAAATGGTCAGACACGTGGTAAAAATGGGTGGGATAGGGTAATATTTTTATACAGATTTCATAAATTTTAAGTAGAAACCATAATTTTGCTTATGTGGATTGTTAGCTGACTGGTACTTTTTGTTTCTTACCAAAAATTAATGGGTAAACATTTTTTATTAGAATGTTATTGCAGATTATTTAAACGTTCCTCATTTCTAAAAAAGGGACCTCATAACATCCTAGCTTGAGTTCAGAAAAGTGGCCATAACTTGATGTCCGTACGGTAAACTTTAAATTAAGGCATATATGCATATATCTGACCTATGATGTCAATGTTTTAGTTCCTTAGAGTGCCCATTAGGGTGGTAATACCTTAAAACCTACATAGGATTTTTCTTGGAAGAGTAAAATGAAACCGTGTGAACTCCTGAAAATTCACGCGGTTACATTTTACAAGGATATGATTTATTTTTTCCTAGACAACACTTTGTTTATGAGCAGAAACAACAATCAGAACCGTCCTCTTTATTGATTTTCAGTCACATGTAGATTTTAAAAGTCACGTGGTAAAGGCACCGTAAAGACTATAACTAAATTATAAAGAAAATATTTGAAGCTACATCAATATTAACCATAACAAATCATACATTTCGCCTTGTACTCTGTAAGATATACATAATTAAAAACATGTATTATCAAAACGTGTAGCTTTTAAAATAATTATGTTATAAAAATTCATCTAAATGCATCTTTTTATCAGTTTTAAAACCTTAAATCTAACCGTTCTATCGTCTTCTTTTAGAAAAAGTTGTGGCTTTCACGGGAACAACACCTAAGGCGGGTACATCATCAACATCTATGTCTTTTACAACTGTCATTACAAACGAAGGTAACGCGTTTGATACATCGACTGGCAAGTTCACATGCCCTGTTAGCGGGCTCTACTACTTTTCCTTACACATCATCAAAAAGAGGACAAACCCTCCAGCAGTCCCCGTCGACCGGGCCGGATGTTTCATTAATCTAAACGGATTAAGTAAAGTGAGAGCGCACATAGACCCATATGCCTATACAACAGACATTGGAAGTTACGGAGTCTCGACATCGGTGTATTTAAATCTAAAAGTTAGAGATGTAGTGACCATAGAGAACTGTTACGGTACAATACCAGACACTGTAGATTCATGGACATCATTCAGTGGTTATTTAGAAAGACAAGTTTAATAACTTAAACCAAAATATAGTTACTATATATATATGTTTTCTAGTATTTGTGTCACGGAATGCTCTGATTTTTGTCTCGCGCATCAAATGGCAGTTGATACGAAAAAGTTTATATCTAAGATTTAAATGATAAACACAGGTTGTTTTGAAGAAGGTACATGTGTATTTTTTCGATACAACTTTAAAGTCATAATTTTCACAAGAAATTTCCCTGTATAACTTGGTAAATTATGTAGAATACCCAAAAAGTGATATTTTAGCAAAATTATTTATGGAATGGTCCGATTGTTTTGATTTTTAATACTGATAAATTACAATGGAATAAGTGTTTTAAAGCTGCTAGATCGCACAATATTGCTGAAATGTATTGCTTGGAAATCAAATTAAAATACATCAAATGTGCTTTTCAAATATAATTTGTTTGTTTTGACACGGATCCGTTATCAAAATACATCATTCATGCATAATTTTTTCAAGTATAAAAATATTAGACGTGTCTAATATAAAATGATCTATCACTATATGCGTTCATATGTATTGTTCCCTGAAACACTCTTATTTATTTTTCTCTGAAACACTCTCATGTATTGTGTATATTTTAAATGGGAAATATACAAATTGCAGTTAAATTATGTGTTCAAAATGTACAAAATAAATACGGTCATATAAATAACAAGTTCGTATTGTTGATTGGAAAATGAAATGAAAATTAAAATGAACTCTCCACAATTTATTTTCTTTGTTCATTAAAAAAACCAAGGCAGCAAATTTTAAAACGAGCATTAACTCTATTATCATTTTACATATTATAAAAAAAAACGGTTCATTTGTATATTTCAAAAGATGAGCGAAAAGGCAATGTAACCATTTTATATGTTTTACTAATTTCTTCATTTTTTTTTTAATTTGTATTCGGTAATTGAGAGAAACATTGCATATCTTACCATTCAAAACTGTTCGTCTATGACACAATTCATTACCATGCACTTTTCATATGTAAAACTTTCCCATTTAATCGCTACTATATAATATGCGAAGTCACTATTATTAATCTATTACATTAAGACCAGTTACAGATATAGGTCTAAAATCATCCGTTGCCTTTTTAACTATCTGCTTGTCCACGTTATTATCAAAAATGGTCGTCAAAGTCACTTGGTATGGGCACATCTTTAAGGTTGATATCTTCTTAATTAGGCATTTCACTATTTCTAAGAAGTCGACCTGAACAAGAAGCTTGTTATTTTCACGGCAACAAACATACGAGAATCCCTGAGAAAAAATACATCAACCAAGTAAATTTGTCATGGTAAATACTGCTCTTACTAACAACTTACAGTCCTACCTAATGAAGAAACTATTGTTCCCTTTACCGAAAAGCTAGTCAAAAAATATAAGCTAACGCTTTTACAAGATTTCAAAAAGTATTAAAGACACTTAATCTTAAAGTTGGCGTTTGACTTGTTTAAAATTCCTGGTACATCTACTGAATATAATTTATCATTTATAAAGATTTTTCTTTATGACAGATAAAGGCATGTAGTTGCAGACGATTTGTTGTTTGTTCCCCGATACATGTGTGGGAGTTTCATTGCTTGTCATAGAAAATACGGTTGATCTACATTGAAAAAACATACTATAGGCATTGCTCCGGTGGTTTTAAGTTTTCATTACTCCCGAGTCACGACATTAAGACGCTGAAATTTTAGATAACTCATTTTACATGCAAGCAGTGCCGTATGGACAGCCCAAAAAGAAGAATTGTAATGGAACTTCAATAAACCATACGAAAGCTGACCATGCTCGTCTCTACCGAAGGGCTATCAGAACGCTCGAGCTCGCGCGTCGCCAAACACCCACATCCAGCGGTCCTATTTGTTCACAGTCCGGACGCCTCTAAACTACTGTACCTTGAGGTTATAATCAAACGGCCCTGCTCGGCTTAAATAACCCTCATCAGCGAGAATAACATGACTTTCGACGAATCCACTCTTCACTGGACTATAAGCGACAGAAAGGCCCGGTCCACTGCGCCTCCGGCCACCCCAGACTGGACAGCTGGGTAGGATCCGCATATCGCTTCAAAAGATGATCGAGGGGAATTTCTAGAGGAAAGAAATGGGGCCCTATGGGCGAAGTGTCGAAGGGATCAACATCTCTGTACCACGGTTAATAATACGCACTATATATAACGCAATCCAAAACACGATTCTTCTTTTTCGTGAAATTCTGCGCTTATCCCACTCGTAAATGTCGCGAATTCTAACTATATCTTATATTTTAATACACTAGCCCGGGAATTCTAATATGCATGAGCTTGACGGACAATCTTGAGTGGACACAGACTCGTAATAATTCCTTATAAAAAAATCGCAGCGATTAGAGCTGGAACAATAACAACTAGAGTTGAACGAATAAAGAATCCCTTAAGAGGGCAAGCACAGCCCAGACCCGTTCCGGCCACACAATTGAAAATGTTCGTTGGGCCTTCAGTGGCCTGCGAGTCATGGTTATGACATCGTTTTGCAGCCGTGGTTTCAATGTAACTAGTCGGGCCCGTTATAACTGTTCAAGCGTGCAAGACTACCGTCCCCAACGTACGCGACCTGAGAACCAACCCTCGGAGCTGATCCGCTGTCCTTAAGCAGAACCATCATCATACTTGGTAACTATGTGGAACTTAGGAAAATCGAAAACTTTAGAATTTTACCTCCTGATGATAACACATCCACTCGGCCCAGATCTGTACGGACTGATCAGTGTTGCTTTCACCTACAGATATAGCGGCGGTTATCCCATTTAGACTGTATAACTCCTGAAACAGACTTGTTTAGGAATATCCACGAAGTCATTACGAGAACTAAGAACGCCATTCCATGTAAAAGCTGACCGGGTCTGACAGCATATTCCGCGTTCCCTCCAAAGCACAGTAAAAAAAAATCAATTAAGCTTACATTTCCGAAAAATCAGTGCAGACAAACCATTCGGCAATGACGACGCTCTTTTGAATATAAACACCAAACGGACTCACAGAACGATCGGATAACTAGCATATTGTTTAATTTATCAAAAAATAGTCTTGAGATTATGATGGAGTACACCAATGCTGCTTTAAGCGATTCCGATTTCAAAAGCTCCACTCCAGTCCAATTAATAGGTCACACACGGCAGTATATACTACTAATACATTCGGCGCACGATAGATCAACCACGCTAATAAGTCTTTACACTTATTACATTGACCCCCGGTATACCGCCGGCGGTCTAAGAAAATATATGCGAGTTAACGAGACGGAATCGCAATCATAGTATAATACTTAGAGTATACAGTCATTATGCTTTCAGACATTAATCATAGGGGGTCAACTTCATCACCATGAATTCAACTGAGCACGCTACATCATTAGAAAGATCTTTCCGTCTCCAGGTTCAAGTATGCGTGTGTGAAAATCATCCATGGATGAGATTGCGGATGCCGGCAACAGAGGAGCTTTGACTCTACTTTTGCATTTCCAAATTACGTTGAATTCAGTATCTTCTTTCTAGACTTTATGACTAACCTATCATGTTGAAAAAAAACGCGAAAAGCGATTTCGAACCTTAAAAAACCAGTCTTCATTTATATGTAACTGTAGCATTTGTCGATACTATGTGCATAGATGCCGTCTGCGCCCAGGTTTTTAAAGGAGGAAATCATTATGTTGTCGTTGGTTCCAGATGTGCCAAAACAGAAATGAATTAATAGTATGTTAATCCCAACTATGATGCAAGCAATGTGCAGAATACAAAAACTATAAAGTTTAAAATTCAAAGATTGACTGCTTGTTTAAAGGATTAGAAATTCTCTCTGAACTTCACGACTGGTTATACTTTTTTTTAAAAGATGCCAGCCATGTTGTTCTTCAGTCCAGTGTGTATTCAATACCTTTAACTTTTTTCGCCTCCTAGTTTGAAATATAATTAATCATAACGATTCTGTGCTTACCTGACTTCGGCGATTTCTGTCTGCCTCGTTAATCCAAACACTTTCAGATCGGTGACACTTATGCTGGTATTTCCATTAATAAAAAAATTGTATCGTAAAATACTTGACCTTGTTTTAAAACAAAAATAAAAAAAAAAGTTGATTATGTGCATGTGTGTACAGTTAAATACTTGGATTTTATTCTTGCTCGATACAAGGCTCACATCTATGGCCTACCGAAATTCCATATGCATTTTTTCTGTTGGACCGGTACAAAATGTGCATTTTAGTACATGTTAAACAATGGAAAGAGAGCATAATTAAACATGTTTTCACAAACTCAATACCAAGTTAGTGCTAATGCCGTGCGCAATAACCTCGATTGTGACGTGTAAAAGGTTAAACCAAAGTGTAATTCAATACAAAACATTTAAGTTCATTAATCAATAACTGATTGCAAACACATCAGAAGAAGTTAAAGCCAGTCTTCGTCTCAATGCAATCATATGAATATGTTTTTGGCAACCTTGTAACTAACGGTTCGAAAAATTCAAAGTTTTCGTGAGAGAGAGGAATTGATTAGCCATTTATGGAAAAATGGGCCTTTTAACATAAATGTACAAGCTACAACAAGCATATAATATGGTAAGTGTTTTGTAGGCGTGTCGTGGTGGTTTTTTTTCTATCTATTTTTTTTTTTTTTTTTTTTTTTTTTTTTTTTTTTTTTTTTTGGGGGGGGGAGGGCAGTGAGACCCTTAATTATGTCGCAACAACACTGACTATGTTCAAACTTCCCAGCAGACTTGGTGGAGGAATCACAGGTTATGCCCATTCCGTGCATTTTTCAATGACCCCAAATACATGAAATATGGCTAGCAGCCTGGAGACCACAAGCGCTTCCGAAAAACTAGCATAAGCCTCACAAATCCATATATTACTGCTTGTACCGAACTAACGGACCACCAAATAACATTTATATGTAACTATTAAATCAGCAGCATTCACCGAAAATCGATTTCTGCATTACGAATTATGTTACTCTTCCCGTTCAAAAATTCATTATAAATTTTCGGATTACCTTCCCTTTGGTTAACATTTGCTGATAAAACTTATGCTACGGACACGGATACCATTATTCGTTTTGTGTATAATGTGGTTGTTAAATTGAACAAAAATCACTCCAGATATGACTCCCCAACACCTTTACTCTTATTGAGTCATGTCTCTCCAATTGTTTGCCCTGTTAAAGTCATTTTTTTTTGATTCAAGCGTTTATAATATTGATTCTTAAAAGAAAGTAGACGGTTTTTGATTGCAAAAACATAATATGTTACATGACTCGGTTTTCAACACGGACATTTTCAAATGTATAAAATTCTGATCGCTAATCTTGACACCAAAGGGTCTTTTGGTATGAGCGGGTGAAAATTCTAGAAAAGCTGATTATTCTGAAAAGTCTGAATGCTTCTACATGAAAAAATTTTTTAAAAAAATAGTTTGAAACCAGAGGTCCCTTTAAGGAACCTTTCAACATTTGATATCGATGGACGCGTGAGACGAAGGATACGAAAGTTGGATTTCTATACTAGAAATATTTTACAAACTATACATCACTTAATCCCACCCCTAATGAATAATGACCCGAACTTAAATGTTGCACAAACCCATATAGATGAGTAAACGGATTTGGTAGACGCGAGTTCGCAATGGTTACAGCAATAATTTACCATATATTTGAAGTCCAGAGTCCCTGTTGATTTCGACCAAACCACTTGTCTAATCGTTTTTTCCATGGGTCCATTGAAAACGCCAGAGATTATCTTTTCTATTATTTAATGGGAGAGGAACCGGTGTCCTTGTAGCTAACTGGAATTTAATCCTCACCTCAACGGTGAATCTTATTCCTTAATCGGGATGTCCGTATTGAACCATGCTACTACCACATCACACCAAAATCTCCACATAAACCGCGCGCAGCCAGCGTCCGTGCGACTAGGAGGGAGACCCGGAGGTTTTCTCACTCAAATAAATCCTCGACATGTCACTCCCATATTGACCTCTTACAATACATACGTAGATGAGACAGAGTTGGAAACCAAATCAAAAAAATCTTACATTATATCCATATATCGAAGTAAGGATGTCATTTAGTCATTTGCACATACAGATATTATGATAATTTAAGATGTTGTTGAATCTAGCGACCTAATCCCAAATTTAATAACGGGAGACATTCCACGTTTCAAATGCATCTGACAAAACAATATAGATAATAATCATTTTAAGTATTACAAAAAGAAGGTTATTAGATTACAAAAACAGCTAAAGGCCGTTTAACGCACCTTTCTCTTTTCATAGTGTATGTTATATCCATAGTGCACTTCAATTGAATATATATTTATCTCAATGTCCTATTTTACTATTTAACCTTTTATCCAGCATCAAGCGCTCCCCGAGGTCTTACATTTACGATTTACACGCAAGAGATACAAAATATTACGTAGATATGTTACGAGGACGTTTCTGGAGAAATTTTATGTATAGACACATAATCGTTTAAAATAAAACAATGTTTCTATTGGATTTCTTTTAAACTAGGCCAGTTATGTTGGATCACTCACAACATCCTAACATCATTTGCGTTCGCTTATAATGTTCTTAACGCTCCTTTATCATCCCATATATTCTAACACTTGGCCAACGTTTAAAAAAAATTTACTTGCAACCGCCACGAGAAAGTTTCAACTCACGCTGTGTCTCGATATCTAAATGTCTTGAAGGAAACTCCCGGTGACTTTGCTAGCTTAACCCAAACCACTCGATCACCTTTTTATAAACATGGACACCTCTCTTGCCTTTGAAAACGGGATCCTTTTAAAAAGAAAAGTCATGGTCCTTAACATCTCTTCAATGTCCTTCGATATTTTGAGTGAGTGACAAACAAAACATAGATCCATTCATTTTTTTAATAAAATTTAAGTCTTCGCTTGTTACTCACCACGCGCTACGTTTAGCCGACAACAGAGGTTTAGAAACATAAAGTTATCCTTGACCCTTATGGCATTAAATCTACCTGAGCAAATGATTTTTTCTTTACAATGATATTAGATATAATTTAAGAAGTACATGATATTGTATTAATACTAAAGTCTTCTGTTCGATATTGCCCTGATTTAGTGCGACTGGGGGGAAAAAGTTACTCGCATAATGCTCCTTTTGATAGTCCATTACCATTAACTCTAGTCTATAAGGTCTTCTGTACCGTTACAACAATCACGGCTCGTCTGGTACAACGCCTAAGACACAGTCGACATGAATCTCCAGTTCGAGCAAATCTTGCGCCCGGACATCACTATCTTCCCATTATATTGTTCAACTCTCTCTGCAGCTGCTTATTAACGACCTGATACACGGTAATATAAATAACTCCAAGCATCTCGTTCAGCAACACCGCAAACGAATTCGAACGAATTACAAAGAATACAACAATACCGAAGTATATTTTCAGTTAATAGCGTATTGTCTTTATATCTAATATTTGAATAAATTTAACTTAATTGCCACGACATTACTCCGTGAACAGCATGTCGGTGTTATTCTACAACACGATCACAAACCATACGCGTACAAGTTTACCTTTATGAAGCGGTAGAGTATACTCGTATTGTTTAAAAACATTAACAAAGTAACAGTATATCATCAACGCCTATCTACTTTGTATATTCTCAACTGTTAAAGAGTCATATTTTGTTTTTTGGAATTTTTTTCGGTATCTGTCGATCCATTGACAAGTGTATCCAATGTTATTCAGCTGTTTCCTCCGATTTATTCAAAATTTTCTTATAATTCTAACGTGCAAAAATGATCGCTTATCGGATTTTTTTATATTTTCATTGCCAAACACATTTTAATCATAGTCTAAAGCGACAGGTCTGCCTCTACTTTACCAACAATCTTATCCGCAAATGAACGTTTTCGTATCTGAGAATGCTACACGGAGATCTAAAGTGTATTTTGGCAATTATTCATTAAAATTAAACAGGAAACATTCAAATATATTTCAATTTTACACTGTTACATATGCACAGTAGTGGACGCGTTCCACCGGCACCCATATCGTGGTTTTGAGTCAATTCGAAATCGAAGAAAGTTACAAGAGGTGGGAAAACTTTGATTGCTCGGTTCTTAAGACACTAATCTGATCTCGGTTTGATTTGATGTAATTTTTTTGTAAAATAAATCATAGTTCCTTACGGAAAGAATTGTTTCCAGACAACAAAATAACTAGTTATCTATTAGCCTGCGTCGAAAAATTAAAAAAATACTCGAATTCGACAGTTTCTATGGAACCCTTTTTCCTCATTTTGTAGATACAATTTTCAGTAAGATCAGACAACAGTATACTTGAAGGTCTAGGTGGACGGCCATTCAATCATGTTTATGGTTACATTAAATCTGTGCACAAAAGTGTACTGTCCGTATCACAGTGAGCAATTATACTCAGCTGTATTACATACAACCAAATGACAATGCAAAACAAGATAAGACTTCTCTGTCTTCAGCCCTTTCCATAAATCAAAATGATCATCATAGATTATCATCGCCATTGCATCATCATTATTTTTATCAGTTATTTTCAGACAAACATGGAAAGTGAAACATTAGACAGAGTAAGTATTTTATCAAACATGTGTTCAGTAAAATTGAAATAAGTAGTTTTGATACCTACCTTTATATGCAGTTATTTTAAATTTTTATATAATTACGTCATACACAATTAACGAGTCATTGGTCTTGTGGTTAAACCACAAGGGACACAAACACTTATTTTCCAATATGTTGCTATGAAGGTTAATATACTTAACCTGTAAAAAGACCTTCCATTAAACAAAATGTATTTTTTATGTAGATACTTGACCGAAGTAAAACTGGTTAACTTTCCATTGTTATTTCTTAGTTTGCGATACATTATAGAAATATTAGCAATGCATGCATAACAAGGACATGATAATTTCTTGTTGCTCTGAATAATAAACATAAAAATTAGATAATTAACAAATTAATAGCTCTTCAAAGTAGGAACACCTTTTTGTTTCAGTATTTACTTAGGTGTCCCTATTATTTTATTTTACGTTTGTCAAATTTAAAATACACATACAAATAGAACAGTTTGGTTTATATAATTCAATAATTTCGTTCCCGTTCAGTTTTACTCTCAAAGTGAATTGTTTATTTTTATATACTGACTGCCATTTTAGATCTAAAAAGAATTGCTGAATAAACAGTTTAATTAAAACGCAATTTGAAAACTTAAGAAAGTTTACAGATGGGAACGTTTTATCGGTATAACAACTTCACGGATTGGCAACACGTACAGAGGGAAATACTGAAAACACAAACATTGAAAGTTCGAAGAAAACAACAACGCAACACTGAGTAGTCGTTCTTATTTAAGATAATTTTGTATCAAATGACAGAATAACCAATTGGATTATTAATAATAAAAACAGTGCTTCTAATATTATTTTTTGTGCAGCCAAAATGTTGTTAAAGTCAAACAATCTATATACACTCACCGTAGAACAAATTTTAGGCACGGATTTCTGGGCCGGAATTGGCACGGAATTGACACGGAATCAGTGATTCTGGGCGGACCAGGAAACGGAAACGGCAAATTCCCGTGTCTTTTCGTCTCACAAGGGAAAAATATTTTGTTCACTTTTCTGCGGCGGAAAAAACTAGAAAAATTCCGGCCTGGAATTTTACTTGGAGCAGAATTTATACTTAAACATTTCATCTTGGAGAGAATCTTTCAACTTTGAATTTTCTTGGGAAGAGTATGGCGGAATTCTATATTAAACATTTTTCTTGAACTTGAATTTCACATATAAAGATGTCTAAATCATATTTTAACTCTTGTTTTTGCACTTGCAGACATTGAAATTTTACCAACTGTACTTATTATTTTTGTTGAAGCATGAACTTGACCAATAATTATACAGGTGTACTTTTTAGAAATAAATAGGTTTTTTAGACATTAAAATATGCCCTAAACAATGTTTTTAAATATTGTGCAAATGATATATTGTCAGACTAATTTAGCAAATCTTTTTTGTACTGAAAAACAGCTGAAATAATCTTAGTGTAGAACTTGAAAACAAACATTTACCTCCAAAAATGCTTAAGTTTACTAAAAAACAACATTGAAATAAGAATGCTGTTTAAATTTGAATATCAGGACAGCCACAGGACAAAGATAGTGTGCTTGCCATTTTAAACTCTAAGAAATCATTTGATTTTGTTATAAAAAATAAACAAAAACAAAACAAAAACATTGCATGAAATATCTCATATAGTATGCCCTTTTAATCTATTATAGAATTGATCAGCCAATATGCCCAATAATTGCTTTCATTTAGGTAAATAAATACCACAATATATAATCCAACTGAATTTTACACTACACAAATCAGAGCTCTGATAAACTCAACTGACCAGCAGTTTCCAACCATCTTAAATTCTTTGCATGACTAATTTACTCCACTGGTCATTCCAACATATCAGGCTGTTCATTGAATTATTTTGGGGAGAGATAACATTAGAATTTTAATGCAAAATTTGTCTAGGACATTGCAATTTTTTTTTTATGTTCAATGAATTGTAATTGATTTTTAAATTCTATTATATATATATATATAAACATGATCTATCTGTTACATTCAATGAATGGAGGTTGAGATGCTGAGTAAATTTAACCCTGTTTACATAATGATTGACCTGTCCATAGCAGTTATAAGTGAGTTGTGAATTTTGAATTCTAAGATATCTGGGTCAGCAAAAAGAGTGCAAATATTTACGGAGGATGTACTTGATATTTTAACAATTTTGGAGACATACTTTTGTTTAAGATCTCAAAGTGTTTTAGTATTGGTATGATAAATAAGTGTGAAAACATGGGACAAGGAGATGAACAACATAATCAGGTAATTATAAACCTTTAGTTACATTAATGCTGAAACAAGTTTTATATCAAACTATCAATGGTAGCAAACTAAAATTTGTAACATTTAGAGGTAAATGTTGTTTTTATATTTTCAACTTCATACATTTGTTTTTTTCTGATAATTGTTTTAAATCTTAATTACATGTTTAATGACTGTAAAATATAAATTATTCAATGATTCTATATAATGATTGTGTGTATTGTATAAATTAATAGCATGTAGTAGATCTTTTTCATTTCCTGGAAATTAAACAAATTAAGTCAATTTGATTAAATAGGAATAAATGGTACAAATTCAGAAGTTTTGTACAGCTAAACAAGGTCATCATAACCATTTATTATTTTACATTTATGTGTTGTATTTCCAATGGAACAATCTAAAATTGCATTTTACACTCATATTTTCAGACTGGGAGTTAAGTGCTGACTGTGAGATGCAAGGTGTTTCAATAAAGATGTGCAGTATTAATCCTGAAAAGGTATATTTTCAAATCTCTATACTTAACCATTCAACATCTTTCTTTGAAAAAATACATAACCAGTAATAAATAGTGTCGCAAATAAAGCAGTCAGTTAATTCTTTTACAGAGCAATTCTTAAACACTTGTGCACTGAAATAAGATACTGCGTAAGCTTTATTATTTTTGAATATGCATAAGCACTGTTAATATTTAATACTGTTGAAACATAAAATTTGATATTATCAAAAAATTTGAAATATAACTGCATATAATTATGCAATCAAACATATTTCATTACTACATTTTTGTTTAATTAATTATTAATCTTATTACTAAAGGTGAGCACAACCACAAGAAGTTCTTGGAAACACAGGCAATGGACTTAAAACAGACATCAATTAAAGAAATTGTAATTTAAATAATCAGAGACATTTGAAACAAATTTATGATTGAAACATTCTCAGCAAAAAAATTGCAAAAAGCAAAGTGTTGGATTCTAAGAAAACCAGTACCTACCAAAACCTGCAGGTAGAAAAAAACTGTTTGTGTTATAGTGAATGTATGGTATTCTATTCTGTATTTGGACTAAAGGATATGTATTAAATTTTGTGAAAGAAAATTTAATGTGATACATTATTGATAATTTTATCCCAAAAAAATGTGATCATGTTAAACTCATAAAAATTCCGCCCCTATGAATTCTGTCCCAGAATTCCGCCCAGAATTTTGTTTGACAATTCCGTTCCAAAATTCCGTTCCGAGATTCCGCTTCAAAATTCCGCCCCAAGATTCCGCTTCAAAATTTCGCCCCAACTCAATTGCATATTTCGTCCCAATTCTGCCCAGAATCCGTCCCGTTTCCGCCTGGAATCTGGCCGGAATCCGTGCCAAAAGCAAATGGTTTAACACTTGTATATTTGAGAGAGAATTTAAATTTCTGGGCGGAATCTGCCATTTAATTCCGCCTCATTTCCGTGCAGAAAATTTCATACAGGTTGTAATATTTAAATGGGGTGTTGAATATGGCTGATGATAAATGAAAGGAAAACGACACCGCTGAATCATTAGAGAGGTCCGGACCAGTTTATTTCCAGGTCATACTAAAATACAGCTACAACAAAAATATTGTGATATCTGACACCATAGAAATGTATAAACACTCTACAGTATGTAACAAAATGTATCTCTACCAGTTTGATTCTCCACATGAATTGTCAACCGAACATTTCATTTTTTTAAGATGATACATGCACCGATACTTAATAAAACACCACCAAATTACAAGTTTTCAATTATATTACACGCAGATACATTCCACTTTTTTTTCTTTATCATTGTTTGCTTATTTTCTATACAATATTCAAAATGGTGAAAGTTTTATATCTTATTTATTTCAGTGCCACCGGTTGTACACTGTGAAAGGCAACTGGATAATCTCACTCGGATTTTCTTAATTACATTCTTTAACGATAAACAAGACTTATGCCAAGTTTACAATTTAACATGATGGCAGTTGGAATCCCATTAAAACCGTTGGCAAAATGATTAGAAAAATTCTCAGAAAAAAAACTGAAATAGGGAGGGTTGGTGAAAAGTTTCTTACTTGCATTACACTTTCATTTATGAATATTTGTTTCTGGTTGTTTTTAACACAATCGTACTTTTTATCTATGAATATCTTGTCTTATCTTTTGAGAAAGAAATGTTAATATAACGAAAAAAGACAAATATTTTCGCTTGCCTGAAATGTGATTCAAACTCAAAACCTGTCAAATCATAGGCAAACTTTTTGGGCACAACAAAAATCAGAAGCACACCAAATTACTGTCACATTTTGAATTTCCATTAGACTCGTTATTCTTACATACACGCATACGGAAAAACATACAAACTCATAGCAGACTTAAAATGATAAAAAGGATATAATAACAAATGTTTAGAATACGTACGGAATATTATGTTGTAGTAGCTTTTTGGGGCTTTGTATTTTGCTACGAGCAGCGGTGGAAAATCTCGCGCGGACGAAGGTCGGATGACTTATCAATTTTCCAACGTTGCAAGTAGAAAAATACATAGCCTCAGAAAGCTACTACAATAAATCCTTCTTTTATTATATACCTTAATTATATACAAAAAAAATGAATTTCAATATACATAACTTTTATAAGGTATTTCAGAAAATGAAATGTAGTTGTCGATCATGAAATAAATTCATGAATAATACGTAATTTTGCAAAACCGGCTATGACTTTAATAATTTTGGTTTCCGTTTCAAAATGCTACGTTTTACACAGCTAAGATCAGAAGGAACATGAAAAATAGTCCTGTTCTGCCATATATGGTACCGTATTTGTCACATACATAATACGGAATTTTCTATCCCTTGCAGCGTATTTGCACTTCAAGATTTGCATGTATTTTTGGGAAAAGTTTATAAGGTTGGTGCTTTCTGGGTGCCCTACTTGGGGTAGTCGATGTCTGCGTCCTGTGAACGTTGTCTTTGCCTTGTTGAGTTTTATTCTTTTATAATAAAATGCGATACGAGTTCTTTTGTGATGAACAAACTACAAGCGTGTGGAATTTATATTCACTGATAATTTGATACCAATGCATACACTCGTCTACACTTAGATCGTCTTAATATTTTGGAGAGGGGAGGGGAAGGGACGGGAGGGGAGGGGAGGAAGGAAGGATTCAATAAATGTACGCGATTAAACTACACAGGACTCCTGATTTATTAAACAGAACCATGCAATTCTTTATTTTCTATTAGTAGCATTTGTTTAAAGGGCACTTGTGTTTGCAAAAAAACATTGAAATATTTTCAATATCTCGCTAACATCATGAACAGCCAATTACAATCTTAGGAGAAAATACTTCATCCTAATCATTTTCTCGTAACTATATTAGCGATTGGAGCCATTTGATGCAATATTACTCTTCAAGAAGTGTATTCAAATATTTGACAATTGGTGTAACAAGTTAATATGTTGTTTAAATATTATTCCGTCGTGATACTGTGCTTTTCCGTCGTCAACGGAGAACCTGGAGAACCTCAATGTTTTTCGAGATTTGACTATGACGAGAAAATGTTAATGAAACAGTTAAGATTTGAAGACAAAGTTCAGAAATTTGAGGATTTTATTAACAGAATAAAGGCACGAGAAGCAAAGGACAAGGATGAACGCGATGAATTGTTTGCCGCAGAGTTAGAGAATGTTATAGAGTTTAATAACGGAGCAAAGGCGCGAGAAGCCAGGGAAAAAGAGGAACGCGATAAATTGTTTCCTGCAGAGTTAGAGAAAGTTAAAAACTTTCAGACGCTTATTAATGAAGTAAAGACAAGAGAAGAAAAGATATTAGAGGAACGTTCTAAGTTGTTTCTTGCAGAGTTGAAGAGATACAAACAAGAAAATGCGGAAGAAGTTGAACGACAGAAAAATGTCACGTCAGAAATGCTCGAAAGTGTGGCGAATTCTAAGATGGAGTTTGAAAACGTTCATAAAGATATAAACGAGAGAATGCAAGGTCAGTTTCACAGAAAGTATTACAGAAATGCATATCACATTATTTGTGTTACTGTAAGTAAGTGATATTGTCGTAGTATACATGGTCTTGCTTAGCAAATTCTACAAAAACAAATGCTGGAAAAATAATATTTTTATATTAAATTGATCTTTGATAATTCTTGTTATTGCAAATAAGTGATATTGTCTTGATAAAAATGATCTAGCTTAGCAAATTCTACTAAGGCAAATGCTGGAAAATAACATTTTTATATTAAATTTATCTTTCATAAAATATATATAAACGTCAACAATATTCTGTAGAATATTGTTTAAGCTTGGAAAAAACGCATGATTTATTGTATGAGCTAACTTAATATAATATTTCTTCTTTTTTGTATATCAGCAATTTCAATTGAAAAGTATTATACAGGACGAGACAGTAATAAGTTTTCCAAGCTTCTTGACAAACAACTGACATCAGCGTAATCAAAACCTCGAATACGATATCCCTAAAGAATGCACAAAACGACCAAAATGAACGGCACTGAGAAATTCGAGTTACTGTGTATGTCTGCTTCAGTAAAATTCAACATTTCAACATGAAAATTTGTCTGTTCTCTGTGATCCCAAAAGCAATGGAATTTTAGCAAGATTCAAAATATTTTAAAAGAAATTGTGTGTTCTAAAGCATCCGGCCTTTTATACATACACTAATTTTTAATATGGTTTTTGTCGCCTTAATAATATTTATAATTGTCCGGCCCTTTATACATACACCAATTTTTAATATGGTTCCGTCGCCTTAATAATATTTATAATTGTTAACAAACACTTATTGTTTATATTGTCCGTCCATAAAAAGATATACATAAAACACATGCGGTTCTTTTACGCCAAATTATCAAATGAATCAATAATTATCGCGAATATGATTGCATATTTGATATAATTATAAAGAAAGCATTGAACTCTGTTAGCATGACAACTTGTACATAAACGTTCTCCGTTCGGTATATAATTGTGTCTGCCTCTTTCTTTGACTTATTTATGGTTGGGTCAACGGAAATTACAAACCACTTTTTTATTTTTATATGGTATTTCTATTTATAGGTAGCGTTCTACATATAAAAGTGAATTCAATTTATTATTATAGTGAAAATATCGACAAGAATTCGTTATATTTTCTTGCCATGTTTTTAGTACAACAATCTATTAGGAAAATATTATATTATGATATGAATTAACTAGTTTCAGCCCAAAAAATAAGATTCACATATTGCTGTATGAATGAAGTAAGAATATTAGGTCGCTTAGCTTATACCCGTAGAATATTTATTTTACGTTACATTCAGCCTTTAAACACTTTCATAAAATCACATAAAGGCAGCTAGCCTCGGTGTCTAAACACATCGTAAAAATACAATTTAAAAAATGTGCCGAAATAAGTGATAAATAAAAACTAGAAATAATATTCAAATATGTTAAAGGGACTCCACTGCGGTTTTTTGACATGGTGGAACTGAAAATATTTTTTCCAGATAAATGTACCATTTGATGTAGGTTTAGAACATTAATCTATGTGCAAAATTTCAGAGCATTCGCGCACTTCGTTTTTCCAGAATAATTATTAAAAATGAAAAGCGTTTAAACGCTTTTCACCCGAATCGGGCTAACAAAAGCATAAAAATACGATTTTCAATTTATTTCAAAGTATATTTCTTAACTATCTTCGCATATATTTCTGTTTAAAGTGCCCAGCTCATTTATGTAAGAAATTCAAATGTTATGTGTTTGGCTTTTCAACCTCAGTGGAGTCCCTTTAAGAATATTTAAAAACAAACTGTACAAGAAACAGAAACCTTTATTTTATTTTTATTTTTGCTTACC